ATCTAGTGGCCTGTTACAAACTAGTCAGAGGGGACCAGCAGGCACTGGGGGAGCCCCTGTTCCCCTGAGCACCGCCAGGTGTGACTTGGAATAACGGTCACAAGCTGGCAGAGGGTAGATTTAGGCTAGATATCAGGAGGCGCTACTTCACAGTCAGGGCGGCTAGGATCTGGAACCAACTTCCAGGTGAAGTGTTGCTGGCTCCTGCCCTGGGGATCTTTAAAAGGAGGCTGGATGTACACCTTGATGGGGTTGTTTGAGCCCAGTACTCTTTCCTGCCCATGGCAGGGGGTCGGACTCGATGATCTGCTCAGGTCCCTTCCGACCCTACTAACTATGAAACTATAATGTAGGCAGCTCAACTCCTTCCTCTGCTGTGTGTACAAGGCAGCCTGGCCTCCTTCACCTTCCCTGCCCTGCCCTGCCCACCCTTAGGAGTGAGAGTAGGAAGTAGAAGCTGGGAGCCCCCAGCCACTGGCACAGGTGCAACATGGGGAATGGTGGTTGAGTGGAAGCCCACAAGGTGCATGTTAGCCCCTTATGAACTGCATGCAGCCTGTGGGCCACCAGTTGAACACCCCTGATCCAAGTCTCTCAAACATCAAACCTTGTCTACATATAAGAAATGCTTCAGTTATCTAGAGCCACTTAGACCATATCCTCCTTAGCATGCAACAACCAACTTCTTCATGTCGAAATACAGATGAATCTCATGCAACAAACTAGAGCACAAATATCTCTAATATTCTTGAAAATATAATTAATCAACATTTGCTGCCTCATTTCCTAACTGTGCTCAAATCCCAACTGCCACTTGCTGTTTTATTCAATGGCAGCAATTTATTTACCTGCATTACTTTCCCATCTTTTCCACGATACAGTGTGTACAGCTGGTAGGCTCTGAACTCATGTGGAGGTGGTGGCGATGAGCAGCGGTGTTTACTTCTCCGTTTGGGCAAATTCTGTTGAGGACCAGGGAGGGTCTGCTGGTCAGCTGGTGAAGTGGGGTCTGAGAGTGCTGAAGTCTGAAGAAAAAACATGCATTTCCCCCATTACAAAATCCCCAACAAACTACTACATGGGGTCTGACAGAAAACAGATCAAACAATTAACTGTCTAGAGCACAAGAGGTTTGTGTCCAGAGACATACATCCTAGTCTCTACTCTCACTTGAGCAGCATTGACATGTTCCCAGTTTGATAATAATTATCACTGCAAGTATCAGAATTCAACCCATCCCACCAGTGGCATGATTGACGCCATCTCCAGTGGAATGATTTCCCCTTCAGAAACTGATTCCTGACTACTCGATATCTGTCTCTCACACTTGGAGCAGCAAGCATTGGAGGTGGTAGGGAGATGGCATGCCTACTCACTAACAAGGAGATGGGATTCTCAACAGAAGTCCCTGTCTCTGCTACTTTAAATCTACCAGTACCTTTCCTTTTAGTTTCTTCTTTTTGTTCTTTCCTCTGGGATCTGGAGAGGCTGACAGGGGTTCATCTTTCAGATCTTTCCTCTGGGGTGCCTGGTCACTGCTATGAGTGTCATCAGCAGCTGACACGCTGCCCTATTGAAAGAAAAAGGAAAAAGAATTTAGCAGTGTCAGGGGTAGGGAGGTAGTTTTGGCTAGTGCTTCTTTAAAGCCACAATTTTAAGTTGTTCTGAATTTTTTCACATAACAGAAATACTGGCAGAGAGTCTTCAACAACAATGTGCGATGCACTGTGCACCCTCCTTTGGCCATCCCCAAAAAGCATCAAGTGAGGAACACCTACAGAACTCACGATAATTAGGGCTCTGTGCATCTCTCAAAGTGCCTGTATTGCTGCACAAGAAACAGCTCAGGCAGATTCAACTGAATCAGTGCAAGAGGGTTTTATTCTAATCACCCTGTTGCACTCAACGCCTTCAACCACATAAAGCTGGTTGGTAATGCGTAGCTGTACCTTGCTCTGTACCACTTCGTCTCTTGGTACAGACTGAGCTCGCCTTTCCTCCTTCAGTTTCTCTCTCCTCTTTCTCAGGCTTCTTCCACGATTAAAGCGTGAGACCTGAGGCAAGACAACATTTTGAATCAATAAACGCCACCACTTTTTCTACTGATGCCCTATTTCAGAAATTAAGTAATAATACAGGCTTATTTATTTGGCTTTTTCAAAAGGGGTAACCTTTTCAATTTACTTTGCACAGCCGCCCATAATGGGAGCATTTGTACTGCAGAAATCTACCAATGCTGGCATAGATCCATGAAGGGACTAGGAATTGAAATACTGAAAATCATAGCACCTAACTTTAAGTAGAGAGGGGTAGATAGTCATGTTAGTCTGAAGTCAGACAAGAGACAGGGCAGAGTTGCACCTTGTTGATTAACTGAAAGTTTTCATAATCAATAGCTTGCTTAATCAGATGCTATAAAAGAACTTGTAGGGAGCAGGCATTCAAATACAGTGATTTAAAAACAAAGGATAGGAAAAAAGGGAGGGAAGGACAGGGGGCACTACTGAGAGAGACAAAGGTGTGTTGAAGAGAAAAACAAAGCAATGAATCCATAGAGATACAGGGGTTATAAAGGTTTATTCAGCTAATGGGATAAGAATACATAGTCTCTGTTTAGGCCGTGCTTAACACAGTCCAGTCTATGGATGATTTCTTGTTCTGTAATTTCAAGTCAGTTTTTAAATTGTTTTAGTCCTTCCATAGCTTCTGTTGCTATATAAGCTATTGCTCATGAAGACCTATGCACCTCTCAATTAGTTAATCTAAAAAGTGCAACTGTGCCCTGCCTTCTGCTCATCTTAAGTACTTTGCTATCCAGTAAACTCCTCAGTCCCAGGTTAGGTATGCTGGGTCCCTATGTAATGCATGGAGACAGATGCCTAAGAATGGGATCCAAAAAAGTCATCATTTTGAGCAAGAAGCTTTCCAAAGTACCCAGCAGAACATACCAGAGAGGGAGAAGGCCATATCATAATTCCCCTCAGGAAGTTGCACATCTCTCTCCACTCATCACTGCAAACCATACCCTGGAACTAAGTGCCTTAACTGAGTCAGTTTTTACTTGCTCAAAACTCAGTAAGGGGGAGGTAGAGGGACAGGAGGTCTCCTAGTGACTGTACTAATCACCAAACTATGGAATCATTTTCATGGTCTGACCCAATTTTACACAGAGTGAAACAGTTTCAACAGGAGAGGTTGAGAGCCACACACCTCAGACTACTCCATAACCCAGTGGTTTGGGCACACTTCTTGGAGGTGGAAGATCTGGTTAAGATCCCTGCTCCAAATCAGGCAGAGGAGGGATGTGAATGTGGATTCCCAGGAGCATGCTCTAATCACTGGAATACTGGCTATGCAGTCAGTGCTGCTGCTGCCACCCACTGGTGTTATGAGACCCAGCTTGGTGGGTGAACTCTGAGAACATCTCCCAGATCAAGTCCAACAAACAGAGGCAGGGAAATGCCTGGGGTGTGAATCCTCCTGGGGCTCAGACACTCAGCAATACCATCTGGATGTGTGTAGTGGTGCATAAGCCAAGCAGCAGAAATGTAGACAATCTTATGGTAGAAACCTAGGCACTTATGGAGTTTAACAACGTCCAGACTTAGGTGGCAGCTGAGCCAATGTTTTGAGGAACTCACGCCCCTGAGAGTCATTTATCTTAACATAAGTGCAGGGGAGGATGTGTGATTCTGGCATTGGGGATCAGATCCCAATAGTGCCTTACTTGCAGGTGCAGAGGGAGGCCCAGGTTCCCCCTGCATCAGCAAAATGACACCAATCAGCTGATTGTCACTGGGGCCAAGAACCAAATTGGTCCTCAGTCCTAGCTGACAGCTTGTCATACAAGGAGCCCAGCATTATGTCACAACAGCCAAATGCTGGGTTCCCTGTGCACCAGGAGCTATAAAACCATATATGCCACTCAAATAGGTGGAATACAGAGTTATACAGCTCCCAGTGCATGGAGAGCCCAGCACTGGGCTGCAGCAGCCTGATGCCAGGCTTTGAGCACAGTTTTGAGCAGTCCCAGCCACACGTTCAATTTAAGACATGGTACAAATGAGCCACAAAGTTATTCCATGTTATATGAGTGTGTCCAATAATGAAGTGTCTAGAAAACAAGAGGTTTGTGTCAGGGGACATACATCCTAGTCTGTACTCTCATTTGAGTAGCATGGACACCCCACATTATATAGTCCATATTACATGCGGAATAATGTTGTGGCTCATTTACTGCGTTAGTACACCTTAAACTGAGCTGTGCATGTAGCCAGTTACTATTTAAGGTGAGATTAACTTGTTAATTGCATCTTAAAAGTAATGTGTCAGGGGCCTCAGCTTCATTTAAATGTTGGATTTAGGCAGATTGAGCCCATTGCCTAGAACCCGGCTTCAGTTCCAGGCATGTGGCCCAGAAGATATCCCAGAATGTTCCTGTCAGCTGATACCTTGGGGTTATTGCTCAAAAT